TTGTGTTTTTATTTGAGGTTTTTTTTTTTTTTTTTCTCCCATGTGTACAGGTAAACTTGAGGTTGGGTAAATCTGTCTCTTACACTAAATTGCACATTTCTAAGTGTATGTATTTTCATATGATGTTAATGTGTACATTCTCCTGTATATATTAGGACTCATATTCTCATTAAACTCATCCTTATATTGTTTTCTTGAAATCTCATCTGAGACAGCAAACTTTTCTATTTAAATGAATTCTTAAATCAAGTTTTTTTCCTTGTGTTTTTATTTGAGGTTTTTTTTTTTTTTTTTTTTAAATAAAACCTAGTTCTCTCTTGTTCAAAATTGCCTACTTTTCACCTAAGTCAGCCAGTTGGATATATAATTCTTTCATTCTCTTACTTTCAAATATAAAATTGTATTGAGAGAGATGATTTTTCTTATCAAGAAAATGCTCTTTTTAAAAACAATCTATTGACTAGAGTACCAAGTATTTCAATGATCTGGCCAAAACACTTTTTTGATCAATGGTCCCTCCCTGAATAAAGCACTTAAAAGTAATTTTATTATCATTTATTTGTACAGATTTTAAAGCAGAGCTTTATGGAGAGAAAATTTGATCGCTAGTACTGAGATAAAAACCCAAGCCCTCTGGTGCGAAACAAGATCCTATCATGAGGCAGCTGTTGAGATGAGCCTACTGGAAGTGCAGCTATTAATAGTGGATAGTCTGTATTCCCTACGTGAGGAACCAAAGACTGCTACCCTAAAACACATAAACAACTGTTCTGCATTTATCCCTCTGTCTCTGTACATTCTCCCATCTGTAGAAATTGCCCTTATATATTTAGTTCTTGTATCTCAGAAACACATAATAGAATGGAAAGGGTGAGATTTATGTAGTATAAGATACATTATTGAATCAGAGGAGAAGACTTAGAAACTGATTTTGCTTCCAGTACATTAATTGTGGAAGGTTTGCTGAAGTTCCTTTCCCTGTCCCACTCTTAGACCGTGATCCCTGCTAGCCATATTCTTCCTTTCTGTTTCTTTGCAGCACACTGCTCTCTAGAGAGCTGACCTAGCAGTAGTGTCCATGGTTTATAAAGAGACCTGCTGGGGTAGGGATTGGGAGTGTGATGGACAAATCATGTGTCCACCTCTCCCCTGCCCCTTTTTGCCCAGTAAAGGCGTAGTTCCCCCTAATTCATCTTCTAAGTGGGATAACAAACTACTAATTCCCATTCTGTGAAAAGCATGCTTGCATCTAAAGGAAAGAAAAGGCTGGTGGGCCCTTTTTCGGGCTTTTTGTATGATTGTTTTCCTTCCACAGCTGTGTTTTTTGAACTGCTCTTCCTGTGTTCTGTTATAGAATAGTCTTACAGGAACCAATCATTAGCGCTAAAATACCTCAGGTAGGAGTGCCAGTGTGACCTGCCAATCAATCAGATTGTGGATTGCAGTGAAAAAATTGAATTATACTAACCATTCCAGCTCCACGTTAGAGATGGGAACAGAGGCTTTTTTGGACAATCAAGACTTGTGAGCGTGTGATCTAAGCCCTGCTGCCTCAGCAGTGCACACAGTCACATTCTAGGCATAGTGGCGTTTCCTCCAAAGTCACATGCTCCTGTCCCACTGCCACATTTCTGCACTGAGTGTGTTACACACACTGTCCCATCACTGCTGCCTCTTTTAATTTGCCAGTCACTTTTGCCCTTGGTATTTTATATTGGCAGACGTATTGGTGAGTACATTGTCTTATGACCAAAAGAAATGTAAAAAGGAAAGGATTTAGTTGAGTCCTACATTGGGCCCTGTAGTGAAATCCTGGTAGTGATTGGACTGTGCTACTACATAAGATTGAAGTTGCTTTGATCTCAGAAACTGAGATTTGCATTTCTCTTGCCTCCTCCTTTCACATGGGAAAATCAGTGAATTCATGTGGCTAATAACAAACTTATTAAGAGGCTTGCATAGCTGGGTGCTAGAAGGGAGAAAACATTCAGTGGCTTTTAATAATTCAATTATTTTATTTATGTGGCAACACAGTGAGATTTTAGAATGAACTAATTTGAAGAGTTGTGGAACAGTGAAGTGTTTGAAAGATTTGATTCATTAATGATCCTCTGTTATCTGGCATAGAAGTAGTAAGCTGAAGTTACCAAGTTGATCATTCTAATTTCTTCTCGTAGCCCCTGTTTTAGATAATAATATTAAGTAAAATATAAACAATACTTTTCAGAGTATGTAGATCTGTGTCAAAAATAGTAACTGTAATGCCATTATTATATTTTTTTTTGAGCTGGAGTCTGTGTTATTCACGTTTACTCATAGGTGCCATATTGCCATGTTAAAACTTAATGTTTCCTAAAGTGGTGGTTTTCAGCCAGGGTGGGGAGACAGTGAGGAAAAAGGAGGCAGAATCATGTAGGGGCAAATAAAGTGACTCCCAGGGGCCCAGCATGCAGTGCTGCTAATTGGAAGAGACCTCTGCTCTACTGCAGTGTTTATAAGCACCATATTGATGTTCCCCTCCACACATACAAACACATACACACCTTGCTGTGTTGATCTAGTATACTACATGGAGGTAACGACCTTTCATTCTGTCTGCTGGTCTTGAATACACACCCTCCTTCCTCCTCAGTGTCACATGATGTCATTGTCTTTCAGGTAGAAGGAAGTTGTGTTGACATCACATGCTCACCAAAGTCCTGTTTTAATGTAAACCTTAAAAAATAAAAAGCAGTAGTATTAAAGATAATGTCAAAAGTGAGGCAGAGCAAAAATCTGCCAATGTGAGATTGATAAAACCAATTTAAGGTTAAACTATATGCAGATTAATGTCAAAAGCAGAGCAGTGATATTTAGAACTTTTCCATCATGTTCTGATTTAAAACACGGTTACAGAACTGTGCAAAAGATTTATGCAGTCAGTGTAGAAGCATCATCAAGTTAATTTGATAATAGAGCACAGTAGAAAATCCCAAAGTCATACTGAGCCATGGGAAACTGAAGATTTGATATAGCAACTTCAGAAGTCATTACAAAAATGACCAGAAAGGTAATAGCATTTCTCTTTGAAAAGGTGAAGGCAGATATGTTTCAAATATGTAAAAAATGAACTTCTTAAGTACAGGAAACATAGGAAAACACTGTGAATCAGAAATATGGTTGTTGGCAGAAGGTGAGCATACATGTGAGTGTTGTGGGTGAGGATTGAATTGTTAGGGTCAGGCAGATGGAAGAGGGAAGTAACGTAGCATTGGGATGACCTGACTGGGAACACTAGGGGTCATTTAGAGCGAATTACCTAGAAATAAGAAATAATTATTTTTCAGTGGGCATGAGTGTATTTGAATCAGGCTTAGCCATGCCAAATTTATACAGCCCCCAGAGTTCCAAAAAGCTGTCTGTGTGCCCTCCTACATTAGGGTGTGCTGTGGCCATGCTAATCCCCATTTTTTGTTTTATTTCAAATCACACACAGATAGAATCTGCAAACTGCTTCAGATCAAACAGGTCTGATTGTGTGTAAATACATATGTCCTTTTAATTTTTATTATTAATGGTTGCTTCAGTTTTGCATCAGTGCATGGTTAAAAGCAATACACATCAGCTATTCATGACTTCATATCTCCAAATGAATTATTTCTCCTCTTTTTTTTGTTTGTTTGTTTGTGCAGTCAGCTGAAGAAATGTTA